TGAAAATTTTGAAATTTTTTACACTTTTTATATCAAGTATAATGCATAATTGGAGGAAGAGAATAGTTATGTTACAAGAATATTTTTTTCTTCCAAACATAATAAGTAAACAAAAATTAAAAATATTTCTGATTTTTTTTTAAATTTCAACACTTGTCCTCAGCAAAGCAAAAAAATGTATTTGCCGCCACTCCATTATATCTGCATATTATATACTGCATGCAAATTTCAAGTTTATTAGTTCATTTTTGTTACAGTTCGAATTTACTTAATATTTTTCCTGTATTATAGTTTCAGACTGTAAAATAGGTCAGTTTCAAAAGATAATATCTAACCATTTGTGGTATATTTTTAGTTTTCCATGTTTTTATTATCATTTTATTCGATAGTCAAAAAGAATGTTTTTATTGTTTTAGATAGGACAAATAAAATAAACGTAAAAGTTGTTTTTACGTAAAACCAGTTTTACTGAAAATCAATGTAGGTATAGGTAAGTACCCAAGGCATAACAGGCATAAACAGCAGTAAAACTGAAAGTAAAAATTTTCAAGAGAAAATGTCTCTTCTATAATATAAAAAATATGTAGGTATAAAACGTATATTAAAATGATAATGAACCAGGTATGTATGAGAGGGAAAAAAACAATTTTAATTTAAAATTAGGATAAAATTCTTTGTTAAATGGATTTTAAATAGGTTTCCCTCCACTTCCATGCAATAATAAAATCTTTACTCCACTTTCGAGCGAACATTCCGAAGCTTTTCGGACGTTTTCTGAAGACATTCTTCAGCAAGATGGTGTTGCATCACCTTATACCGTAGCTGTGCGTGATTTTCTTAATCAGAACTTTCCAAATCACTGGATAGGACACAAAGGTTTAATTGAGTGGCCTCCCAGATCGCCATATCTAACACCCTTAGACTTTTTTCTATGAGGACACTTAAAATCGAAAATTTCGAACAAACCGAACTCGCTTGAGTAGCTTCGTCAGCATAACTGATCTAAATAATGGTGTATGAAATAAGACAAGTCAAAATTTGTCTTATATTCTCCATTTTCAAATCCCAATAAATATAGCGATAGACCACATTTATTTTAAAAATATGCAAGTGACTTTTCCAATCTCGTCATATTCGGTATCGATTTTGACCTCCGCTCTCAAACCCAATAAATTTAAATTAATTATCGGAGCCATTAGAATTAATTGGTTCACTAAAAGCTTTTGTAGTTTCGTCACCATCTAAACCCGACTAAGTCTTACGGGAATACTGTGCTGCCTGTTTGGAGCTAGTGTGTCTGTGTGTGTGTGCGTGTAGGTGCCTAGCACACGCCACTCGTTCATTAGGGGGTGTATGCACCCCAGTCGCTGAATATTTACCGAAACTTGGGGTGGTTGGGCGAAGTAAGGGCGATTTTGATGTTTGGATTTTAAAACGCCGAAATGTGTATGCTTGCGCCGAGCGTAGACGGAATTGTATGCAGGGAGAACTAATTTTTGTTATTCTAATATACGGGGTGTCACAAATTCAATCCAGAAATCTGTAGAGGAAGCAAAAATAACTATTTTTAAGGTACAGGGCGTTAGTTAAAAAAATATATTTTGAATAAATTTAGGTATTACATCAAAATTTCGTGTGCCAATACTTGATTAAAATGGAAATCGGCTTAAAAAATTGAATTCTGTACGGAAATATTGAATTTATAACTTGTTTTTACATTTTCTCTAGGTACTTAACTCCCTATTATATGGAGAAAAAAATCAGGTCCACAGCTTTTAAAGGGGCCACTTTAAATATTAGAAATTTCTAATCATGTGAAATTTCTCTGCCTGAAAACACACTAGTCTCCATGCATAACTTCACTGACTTAACTGTAACTGTTACTTTTTTTAAGTTTAACACGCTGCATCTTAAAAGCAAGAGCTTCAGGAGCCACTATGAAAAATATTCTTACATTAGGGCTAGGAAAACACTGCTTTTTATTTGACATATGATTAACATTGTTGGTTAAACCTAATAACAAATGCTTACAAAGTGATTTAGTGTCATTGGATAATTAGAGCAGGAGAAAAAGTAATCTAAAATATTAAAAATGAGATAGAATATGAGGGAAGGGAACATTTTTATATACATTATGCAGCAAATTTTACTTCATTAACAATGTGAATAATGTATGTAAATGTTTGTACTATTTCAGCATAAATTTTATAAAATCTCTTTGTGACATCCAATTGAATAAATATTCGGGTTCGCGATTTTCCATTGGACAACGCCTGCGTGATTTCTTTATTTATGATCAATTTATATGAAGTTTGTCATTTTGTTACATAATTTTGGACGTTAGCTCTGCAGTTTTTTTATCTGCTCTAAAACCTTGCGGTTATTTTGAATAAAATCCTAATAACATAAATATGAAACATTTTTACTTTTCAGTTTGTGATTCTATTTTATTGATATATCTAAATACAATATAATTCAGGTATAATATGGACATCTTCAGGAATCGATAGAACATGTTAAAATAATGTTCATTCACTTATTTCTTAAATCGCATCGTTTCGGAGATAGAAGGCGTTGAAGTAAGATTTTTTTTTGCTTTTCCTTAGCACTGAAAATACTTTTGAAATAATACTTTTAACGTTAAATGAAATTTACGCGGTTAGGCCAAATAACGAAAAAAAAAACAAGAGACGAAAAAGTTTCAAAATTAATGAGAAAAAAGTGACGTGCAGCTGTTTTATTGAAATTATTTAATTTTTTTGAAGTTTTGAAATGATGTAGGAGGAGGGTAGCACACAAAAGAGGGGTAGGTGATTCAAACTTAGGAAGCTTATGTAAGATCATAAGGAGTGTTTGTGTTTCGAATTCCACCTCAATCGGATGAGTAGTTCAAAAGTTATGAAGGAAAAGCGGGGAAAAAATTCTATTTCAACGCCCTCTCGAAAACGATGCGCTTTAGGAAATAAGTTTATATCATGAATTAACATTATTTTAACCTGTTCTATCGCTTCCTGAAGTTACCCAGATTAAACCTGAATCACCCTGTATAGTAAATTGACAACGCCCTTATACGTTTGTGTATAAATGTTTACAAATACATCTTTGTTTCCTAATCGTATCCTGATTTATTTTGTACTTTTCTAAAGTTACGTTTGACTTAGTAAACTTGTGCGTATTTACCTAAATATGCTAGATAAGTATTGTTTAGTATAACGATAAGAATATATTAATTTAACGTATTCTTGATAAGATAATATATTATTGAGGGAGGATATGGTAGTTATTTGGATTTGATCTTTTTACTTTTACATACTGTATATGATTCAAATGAAAAGTTATTGGAAAAGCGAATACATAATACAATTTTAATACATTATAATACACAGTGTTAATTAAGTTTGTACAATAAATTCAACAGACGATTATTTGAGTGATTTTAAGACAAAAAGTTCATATAAACATTGGTCCGCAGATGCTACGTTTTGAAGTTACAGGGTGTTAAACTTTTGTAAAAAAATTGCTATTTCATAAATATCTTAAATACCCTTTACCCAATTTTGTTGTAATTTGGCAGTGTTATTTGTACTTTATGTTATTTAGATGTTACATGTTATTAATAAAAAATTATAAAAAAATGATAATTTCCAAAAATTAATTAAGATACGAAAAACATTCAAATGACAAAAAAGTTGTCTTTTTAGTTGCTTAATTCAAAAAATATATAGAAATTACAAAAAAGTCAGTGGCGTACATTTATTTTTCAAAAATATTCGTACCGCTCTTTGTAACACTACAAATAACACTGCCAAATTACAACAAAATTAGGTTAAGTGTGTTTAAGATATTTACGAAATAGCATTTTTTTTACAAACCCTGTATCTTCAAAACGAAGCATCTGCGCAACAATGTTTATATGAACTTTTTGTCTTAAAATCACGCAAATAATCGTCTGTTGAACTTGTTGTACATACTTAATTAACACCTTGTATATATTTTATTATTTTGTACAATGTACAACCTCTTTTATTTGAAAATTTATAAGAAAATGGCATTCCCGCATGTTCTTAAACATTTTTCTGCATTTTCTGTGCCTTCATTAACACTCTATTTTTTACTATAGGAACTAGAAATTTTCAAAAGTACCTTAGTTAATAGGTTAACGCAGGAAAACAAAATCTGGACGAGACTGATATATAAAAATAGTATATCAAACATAAGAAATATGTAAACATAGTCTAATATTGTTATTAGTACGAATATTTTAAAAAATGAACAGCAAATTTTCGGTTAGCGTTGGTTTTCTTAGTGATCACATTAAACAGTAAACATAACCGCACTCTGTTTATTACAACTTCACTTGCAGCTTTGCTAAACAAGTTCCTAAAGTATATATTATTTTTTATTTGTTCTTACTGTAAAAGTGGTAAACCATGTTTCTGTATTTTTTTCTTTGTTATTGTTATTAATGTCGTCCAGTTAGTTTTTCTACGTATTATTCTATTAATTAAAATTATTTTCTTTATGTTCTTTTGTAAAAAGTTTACAATCGTTATTGTGCAATTGACTTGAAAATCTAATTATCTAATTTCAATATCTACCAACATTTTACAAAATTATTAACAAACTATGCATAAATATTTTTAAAAAGTCACAGGCGTAGAAGTTACTCTTCACGAAAGGGACTGATCCCCCACTTCTACGACAATGAAAACTAAAATGCGATCTGCATTACTATTATGTAATTAATTATTCATTATATAAAATTTTGTGAAGTTATCGTTACAGATTCCTGAAATATTAAGAGAAAAAAAAAAAAAATGATTTTGGTCAAAAAATTTGAAGATCGAATATGTCCAAAACCATGGATATCTGTTTACTTAAAGGTTTTTCCTAATCTTTATTTGAGGAATGTCCCCTTAAAGGTTGTGCACCTCTTAGTGGGACACCCTGTATCTTCAGGAGCATATATTTTTGTTGAAAGACCAACCGGTCGCACTTACTTGTACGGTTAGTGAGTGGGGTGTAGCAGAGGGGAGCCACGCAGCCTTCGGTGGGGCTCTCTGGCGCTCCTGAAGAAGAATTATTTTGGTCCCAACAGTCCCTCACTATGGACTGATACTTGTTGCTCTGTTTTTTTACCATGTAACAGCGTGGCATGGCGGATCGATCCCGGCCCTGCAGGGACTACCTACAGTGCAACGCGAAACTGGTCGAATTTAAGATAACTTATTAATGAGCGTTCGCGAACGATTCATTCGCAGGTGGTTGTGGAAAAACAAGCGACCGATCTTGGTGAAATAGGTGGGCCGAGCAACAAGTTGGAGAGTGTCACGATGCCGGTTAAGCCACAGGTAAACAACCTGCAGGACTTACGAGGCCCCGACAGGCCCAAGACGCGGGAAAACACTGAAAAAATAGTTTAAAACACCCCCGGGTGGCGAATCTGCGACGCCCGGAACATGCAGGCGGCCGGTTGAATGGCGGACTAGGTGAAACGAGGGTTCATGGACGGTTTGTTTCAGTATTGGTTCAGTTTAGAAATATCACCGGTGTTTCGGAGCACACGCATTTTTTGTAGGACCGGGCCAGTGGAATACATCACTGAGGAACACTGTCACTTTGCACCCCGCACTATATTTGTAAGTATTAAACTCACCACTCCCTGGTTGAAAATGCGTCGTGACGCCGAGGACGTAACAGCGGGGTGGGTGTAGGGCGCGTGCGCCATTTTCCTACAGGAAGATCGATCGGCACCGACACCTGTTACCGAATACATCCATTCGCTGTCTCTTTCTGGGGCCGTCTTCCTGCTCGGGATGCATCTCGACGCAATTGCATAGCAATGTCAGCAGCAGGGTTACTTAGGATTTACACTGAATTTCAATCTGCTTAGGTAAAGGGCTGGTGACAGCCCGATTGCGAACATATACGGGTACGTCGTCCGTTACCAAGGAAACTCATATTTTTGGACCACTGCCTTTCCGCTATAGTCGGTATAGTTGGTAAAATTGGCACAGAAACTTTAGACAGGTGGTAAATAATAGAAGAGAAACAGAGAAAATTCGGAGAGAACGATACGACACCAGAATGGTTGCTTCTTTTGTTGAAATAACATGCAATGGAGCTGATTTGTTTAACTTGTTGAAGTACTAGGTACTTGCTTAAAAAACCTGGAGTTGAAGTGTCATTGTAAAGAATCCTGTTGGCTGTTTCATTTTTGTTACTTAAACTGTCAACAACATAACTTTCTGCAGTTGTGACTGATTTACACCCACCATGTCTCTTGATTGCTAATACACAACTCCTGTATTAGCCAGTAATGTTGCCGATGTTCTTCGGAATGAATGTATGTTTCAGGATGTTCTAGTTTCAAAAACTGTGCAATCCCATTAGGAAACATAGAAAGGGTACGCTTGCCGACTGGTTGGTTGTAACATCTACCTGCTTGATAGCGCATAAAAAAGCTTGAAATTTCAGTTTTAATTTTCAATCTAATCTTTATATATTTCTTGAGAATTTCTAGTTGAGAAACAGAACCCAGTCGAGAAGTAGTTGTAAACGTACGTGACATACCATTTTTAGAATCTGGAATTATAACTACGATAATGTAATTGAAATTTTTGAAATTGACTTCAGTATTTTTGTTCTGGCACCATTCTTTGAAATTTTTATTTGCTCGTCCATAGCGCATTTTTGACTTCTCATGCAATAAAAATTCGCAGGCAGCATTTGCTTCACTTTCTATTTGAATATCAGTCACTAAGAAATAATGATTCAAAACAGCAAAATTGCAACTTTTATGTAGCTTTGTTTACAAACACTTTAGAAACGACAAAATCGAAACAACCAAGGTGACTTTGCAAGATTTCGAATAATGTCAAAATAAATTGATTAAGAAATATCAAAAAATAAAACCTAATCTTGATTTCATGAACCATAAAGTACTGTGAGAGCAGTGTAACCTGAGGGGTTATTTCTTTAATTATCTACCTTTAATTAATTATCTATTTAATTCTCGAAAAAGTTACTATTTAATTCTCGAAAGAGTTACTACTTAATCCTCGAAAGAGTTACTACTTAATTCTCGAAAGAGTTACTACTTAATTCTCGAAAGGGAGTTTATTTAGTTATCGTTATACTTTAATTAACACGTGGGAACTTAGAAATGTTGTATGTTCAGAGAATCAATTCCAAGCACTTACCCTTTCATTGCTTACGTGAAATGTAATCCAGTGGCTGGCTATACAGGGTGGCACTGAAGTTGGAGAAACAAAAGGAAACACAAAACTTCCAGGGAAGGGTTTTATTAACAATAAACAAAACAAACAAACAAAATAAAAACACAACGGCTCAACGACATTATTAATTAATTGATTCAATCGCGACAGCGTACCGAGATTCAGGGAATGCGCGCTCTATACAAAATTTGGAAAAACTATCAAAATTAATTAATTAGCCCGAGACTTTAAAGTTAATAATTAGTCTGCTCAATGGGAAACCTAAGAACGAACTGACTTTTTCGAGATCTTTCCTAAATTCCACAATTCGCTTTGACCACGCCCATTTCGTGGGTCCAGAAGTTTCTGTTCTTGTCTTATTGGCGGGGACCTGAATATCGGTATGCTTTAATAATTATCTAATTGACTGAATTTACATTTATAACAATAATTATATAACTTACTAGTAACCCTAGCCTTCCCTTATGATTCCGCGTAGCAATTACGGGACGGATTAGTCGATCTCATTTAATCTACTCTTATAGCTAGGAAAAATCCGTCAAAAAAATCCAGCTGCTTAGGTATACTCTCTTTTCGAATTACTATCAATTTTACAATATAACTTAATTCTAATTTGGAATCTCCACGCTCTTCTTGTGGTTTCGCGCTTTATTAAATACCGATTTTTTTCTCATCTTAACACATGACCCCGACAGTTTAAGTAAACTCGTTAAAAATATTGGCAAATTTCTCCGAAGGACGATCTTGGCGACCTACTTGAAACCCATTAACCCTCTGATAATTTGTGACGACTGAAATATCTTACTTTCCGTTCCGGGAACTAATAAATAAATGACCGCGCGTCCCGGCTTTTGTTACAGCAGATAAAATGTTATACCTACACCACGCAGCAGTTAAGTATAATTTACCAGTCTCAGATTCTAATGACAGCCCTCGCTCCGCTCGGGCGCAAAATCGTCTTCGACTAATAAATAATACTTACCTCCTTTATGGTGTAAATAACTATTTATTGAAAATACTTATGTACTTATTTATTATTTTTTTAAAAGCAGATCATACCGACAACATACGTTTGATAGTTCATGTTTGTTTCAAACTATTATTTTACTACTCGCCTGGAGATTACTTTGTGAAACGGCGAATAAAAATAAAAGCAATAGGCACGCAACCCCAGCGAGGATAGAAACAACGTGTCGAGTATCGAGTTGCAGAGGAAGGAGTGAAAGAAAAACTGAAGTTTCATTCAACTTTTAATACTTCATAAAGTTAGACAGCAATCCAGTTAATGAAGGGATTTGCTTGTAATGATGATGGATTGTTCAAAAATTAATAAATGTTTAGCGCACCCAGTAGACGGAAGCGCACTTTAAGCGGTAAATCTAGTTACGCTTTGTGTACCGTTCTGGTATCTATCCTCTCAGTTTGTTTTATGGCGGAAAGTAAAGAAGAATAGCGCGGAACGTACTCTTTTATGTTCCGTAGCTTTAAAATAAAAGCAACGGCTGAAAGTATCTTTAGATGCATTCATTAACGGAGAAGGGGTCATATATTACACATTATAGGCATCCATGTATAATTTTCAGCAGGTTACAATTTAGTTCATTATTACACTCATTGAAAAAGTAAAAGGACCCCGCACTGTCTTTATGAAAATGCGGTCTCGGTCAAAAGTAACACAAAACCAACAACTTACCACAATTTCAGATAATTTGACCGAGTCCACATTTTCAAAAAAACACTGCGGGGTCCTTTGCAATAAATCAGTGCTTTTGGTTTATGATAATATATATCTATTTCGAAATTAATACATTTTATCCATACACTATGTATCCAAAAGGAAATTAAAAAGCAACTGTTGTGCATCGATCTAGATTTAGAAGAACAAGCTTGGAATACGCTCCCTAATTAAATAACTCTACAAAATAGATAACGAAAGGCAACTAGCGGCGAGCGAGCGGGATAGCAGCGAATTGCTAAATTGCATAAATAATTTATCACCTTGTTCGTAAAACATGGCGAGAATTGATTTATTGTTGTACGGAAGTGAGTAAACGAATTAGGTTCGATGACCACGAATCCTGCAGGAGATGTTAGATGTTATGCTAATTCAATAACGTTAATATGGGACACGGGTAAGGTGGAAATTGAATTATCTCACAGCAGCTACCCCGTAAAGACTGTTCTAGGTCGGCGCGCCGATATTGCCAGACGAGCTCTCCTGAATTCCCCGAAGAATATTTACGATACGGCAACACACTTTTCGATAATGTAACGTGTTACGTACGGCGTTTCTGATTCCCTTCAAGTAGATGGATGTCGTTCGACGCGCCGTCAATCTGACGAGATTCTTATAAATCTTAAGAAACACCCTACATTTTTGCAACGCTCTTAAATATTAATAAATAAATAAATGTACTAAAATGATTTGCTCAACTACAGGATGCAGAAATAAGTACTTTCTGTAAGGCGTGTAACAGGATAAAAAGATAATTTCACTCATGTTTTCAACACACTTAAATTTCACCCATGTTTTCGAAGTCGCCTGTTAGTCCAGTCGGTATCTGTTACGGGATGGATGTTTTATATAGTAACGCTAATTTTTGTCGGAAATAGTTGTAAATATTATGTAAAACGATAATTGTTATATGCGCCCGCTGAAAAAGTTGTGCATAATTGTTAGCGCAAAAAAAAATAAAAAAAAAATTTAAAAAGCGCATTTTCTCCCTTCTTTCATATATAACTTGGGGAATATTGTCACTAGATAAAATAGTCAATGGAAAAAAAGTTTTGTTATGAGATTCTCTTCAAAATAAAGGTGGTTCGAAATTTTTATGTGCATTATTGTTAGGGACCCATTGAAGAGGGAGGAATGGAAATCATTTTTTTGCAATATCTCTCAATCGCGTTTTGATAAATGAA